TGGGATAGGGTGAGGGTGGGGAGGCATGGGCGGTGGGAGGAGATGGAGGAAAGGTAGCTACTGCCCCTCGCCTACCCCCTCCCCCTCGCCGGACACACAGTTTTCCGTGGGATGAACACAGAAAGGGTTAATCAAAAAGAGTTCGATGAGCGAGTCTGACGGTCGAGTGGGGCGGGCTGGAGCAATGAGGCCGCAGGTCCCGGTGGCCGGTGGTGATGGAGTCACTTAGAAGATGAGAGGTTGGTGGTTTTGGGGGGGGGGGTGGAGCGGGTAGGGAGGAGGAAAGGGTTGGGGGGAGGGGGATTAAGCGGTCCCCCCCCATTATCTCTGGGAGACAAGAGTGTCCTGGACTGGCTGAGAGGGGGTTAAATACCAGCAGCCCCCACCCCCACCGAGCCTACCCAGAGACGTTCCCCATCTCCCTCCCTGCCACCCAGCAATCCCCAACGCGACTGGCAGAGGGCACCGAGACGGACCTTACACACACCAGCAGCGGCGCCACAGAGACAAGTCTCTCAACCACGGCGTCCAGACAGCTGACTGCAGTGGCGAGGGATCGGATAGCAGGGCTGGGTGTCGCGACTCCACGAGAGCCGTAAACTTGTGTCCCCGGCCCTCAGAGCCCCAACTTGGGCATCGCGATCCCGTTCTCCCCGTCGTGACATCCGGTTCAGGCTTTCGCGACAGCCGGCCTCGGAGTTCAAAGTCCGCGGGGCGGGTGCGTGGCAAACAGCGCGAAGGCCTGCCTGGCTGTCGCGAGAGGTGTGCACCCAATCAGCAGCCTGGACGCCCAAATTGCCACCCTCGTCGCCACTCTTGGTTAATACTTTTACCACCGCTCAGCGCATCACGACCTCAAATCCTGGTCTTGCAACAGCAATAATGAATGCAGGGGGATTCCCTCACTTTCCACAGTTAGCCACCAATCAGAAACAAAATAAGGAGGGGGTTGGGATGAAGGACTAGGCAAGAGAAACAGAAAGAGGGGGTATTGACGGACTTGGGGATTAAGAAGGGGGAGAAGAAATACCACTGAGGAAAGTGGTACCATATCCTTCCAAGTATAGGTCCCCAACCGACTATAAGTCAACTCTTACCAAACTCCACTTGGGGTACCCATAATAATTCCCACCTACAAGTCCAGGGCAGGAGTTAGGGCAGATAAAGATGGCACGATCTTCACCTTCTAATCCCCTAATAATTATTGCAGTGAAGTCTCCTTGCCCATGGAGAGATGGTTGGGACAGGGCAGAAGAAGGTGGCTGGGGCAGGTTGGCTCAGAGCCCCCTGAGAGGGGGGATGAAAGAGGTGAATTTGGCACATTGAACCCCTCCTTCTCATAAGTGCTTTGAGGTCCTTCTCTGGAATCCAGCTGACACCATCCCTGGGGCCAGCAGAAGAGGGGCTGGGCTTGTCTCCCCCTCCCCAATTTCTACAGATTTGCCCGAAGGAGGCAAGTGGGGTTCTCCCTGGCTGGTGGAATTGGAGGGGGGGCTGTCCAAAAGGTTAGGGATTAGTTTAAGGGGAGTTTTTTTGTCTTTTTTTTTTTTTTTTTTCTTACAAAGATTCTAAGAAAAACTCAGGGTGGGAGGGGGTGAGGAAGGGGGACCCAATTTAGCTAAGTGTCCACAGACTTTTTCAATGCCTCTTAGGGGCCTCCTCAGAGAGGGATGGTCCCATTTCCTCCCCTCTATCTGAGGTTCCCTCTCCCACCCCACCCCCCAGAGCGGCTCAGTTCCAAGGAAGTTTGGCACTTTTTTTTTAATCAGTGGGAAGATGGGAGGAGGAAAGAGATTTAAGAGGGGTGAGAAGAGGGGAAAAGACAGACAAAGGTAGAGACAGGACAGGTGACAATGGGAGCCACAAGGAGAGAAAGTAGAAAGCCATAGGGAGCCTGAGAAAGAAAAAGAGAGAAGAAGAGAGAGAGGGAGACTCAAGAGGAAGATGTTAGGAGCTGGAGGGCAAATGGGAAAGAACAGGGAGACAATTCAATGCAGCAAACACTTATTAAGCACCTACTGGGTGCTGAAGAGCAGGGGGCAAGGAGACCACTCAGAGTCTCTGAGATCTGACTGCCAACAGGGTAGAGGGGGGAAAAAGAGGCGGTGGGTTTTTCAATGATCCCCATCCCTGACCCCACATCTGTGTCCCCTCTGAACATACTGCAGCGCAAAAGATTGAGGTCAGAATGCAGAAGAGACTTTCAAGGGACAGGAAAGATGGTAGAGTGAGTTTCCTAGGATAAAAACAGGGAAAGGTGTGTGGCTCTCCACTCACCAACCTGGTGAGCAAACTAGCTCACTGAGCTAGCAAACTACCTTTCAGATAGTCCTGGCTGGTGGGGTAGGGGGTCCCCGAGAAATGTGAATAGGGAGGGGGTTGTCACACAGATACCCCGAGGGAACACTTTTCGGGAGGCCCAGCCTCCAGAGACGTGTCTGTGTGAGAGGAGTACTGGGTCCCTCCGATGGGGACCCAGACTCCCATGAATGGGGCTATAGAAAGCATAGGACAGACCAGGGCAGCTGAGGATGCAAATGATATGCAAATGAATGCCTTCAAATCCCACCTCCCCACTCCCAGACCGTGTTTTACTTCTCCCTGGCTCCTTCCCCTCCTCATCGGGGCCTGGGGGGCTGTAGGGGGGATATTCCAGCTAGACACTGCACCCAAGGTGGGTGGAGAGACTGTGAAATACCATAGGGTCTTCTGAGAGGCAGAGGGGAGCAGCGGCCCCCAGGGCCACCTCCACCTCCAACCCCAAAAGCTTCCCCCCCTGCAGAAGATATGTACAAAGTTACATCAAGAATTGTTTTGGCACTCAAATCTCCATCTGGGTTCAGTCTGGAGATTAGGGGTGGGGGCAGCAGCGATGGGAGATGGGGGATGGGGAAATGGGGCCTGCCCCCCACCCTGGAGATGAAGAGGGCATGGAAAAAGTCACCCTAGTGCCCAGCTACAGCCTCCCATCAGGTGGAAGGGCCAGGGTGGGAAATTCAGTGCAAGGTACCTTGAAGGCTATTGCTTTCTAGGGATTTTCACATTTTGATTTGGGGGTGGCTCTCTAGTGAGGGGCAGGGGTCTCCCAGGCTTTAGGGGTGGGAATTGTCTCTGGCTTTTCTTCTCTCTCTTTGTGGGAGAGAGACGAGGAGGCCTGATTCCCCCAAAGCCATGGAGTAGAGAAGGGTCTGGAAGACCTAGGAGGGGAACAAATGGGGGAGAGGATGGGCATGGGGTGCCCCTCCCCCAGAGATGCTGATGATGGAACCAGGGCACTGGAGGCCCTGCTTTGGGTTGGAGGAAGTGGAGGTGGTCTCTAAAGGGGGAGGAGGAGATGGATGAGGGTAGAGGTGGGTCTCAGCTATCCTAAGTCCATAGGGTTGTCAGGCCCTGAAATCTCAGCCTGCCAACAAGGCCTTAGAGCTGACCACAGTCACAGTGCTCAGGGAGCCACTCCCAAACCAACTCTCAGGGCTGCCTCGCTTAGCAGACTCTGTCATAATATTCTAGCTCCTCAAGGCCCATGGCAAGAGCACCGAAACATTCTGATCCCTCTGATACTACCAAAGTACTCCAGCTTGCTGGAAACCACAAGCCAACTTAATCTATTAGACCACACGAAGCATTCGTGCTCCAGGGACCCTACCGTGGCTCACTGAACCCTACACTGGGTCATGGTGGCCCGACCAAGCCACCACACATTCGGCTCACCAGACTCAATGAAACAAAGCCACGCAGACACAAGCATGCACACAAAAGGCGGGGGTGGGAATGGGGGGTCTTTAACAGTTTTCACTAGCTCCATCTCCCACCCCTCCCTGTCAGGTGAGTTCACAGACTTGGTGTATTTGGGTAGAGATGACCCTGACAATATCGGGTCTTTTTCCTTAGAGTTCTCCACATAGGATCCAAGTCCCACCCCTTATTCTCCTCCTAGGCAGACCCCCAGGCCAAGACCCACGGAGGAGGGGTGTGGGTAGAGAAGGAGTGTCAGTGACTTGCCATGGCCCAATCCAGGAAGTGCATGCTCCATCCCAATGACATCACAGGAAATAACCTGGAGCTGCCACAGGAAGTACATGCCCCCATGATGTCACTGAAGTAACCCTCAAGGGAGGCCCACTGAGACATCATGGGAAGTACCTGTCTGTCCTGTCACCACAGGAAGTGACCTCTGGGGAACTACTTCCCGTGACATCATAAGGAGTACCAGCAGCACCCCAGAAAATACTTGACTCAGTGATATCCCAACAGGGACCTTCATTCCCATAACTCTAGGTAAAACCACAGAAGATGCCCCAGGAAGTTGTTCCAGCCTCTCACAAGAGTCTTGCCCACACGACTGGACCAATCCCAGAGCTGGCCTCATTCCCAGCAGCACTGCACCCCCTTCCCCCATAGGACCTGACAACAAAACAGTGAACAGTCCCACCTAGGAGGGGCAACTCCAACAGGGGTAGAGTCGCTGAGAAAATCTGGGAACTCTGGGGTCCCTGCTCCAGATACCCCATTTCAGCTCAGACTCCTCAGCTACCTCTATTCCCATCCCTTCTCTCAGATCCAGAAATGAAAGCAGGAGAGGTGGGGTGTTGTTTGGGGGAGGCCCCTCATTCTAGGCAGCCCAGAGGCTCCCTCCCCTCCTCCCATATGAAAACAAAAACTTACAAAGGGGGGTAAAATCCTCACCAACAACAACAAAAAAAAAAAAAAAAAGGAAAGAAAGAAAGAAAAAAAGAGAAAAAAAGGCGGGGTGTGGAGAGGGGAGAAAAGAAAAAAAAAAGAAAGAAAAAAAAGGAGGGAAAGAAAGAGAAAATAACACTTTGTTTTCTATTAAAATCAACAAAATGCAATATATACAGATATCACACAGACCCGGGCCCTGGGAGAGGAGGGTCAGGCCCAGCCAAGCGTCGGGAGGAAGGAAGAAGGGGGTCAGTTCAGAGCTGGGGGAGGGGGCTTCTGGGCCCCATCCCCAGCCATCACTCAATCCTGCCTATGACTACCAGAGGGGGGGGGCGCAGTCAGGCCTACCCCAGCCCCGTCACGAGGAGCAGGACTACACCCGAGCTGAGGTCAGGAGTTAGGGGTGGGGTGGGGGAGGGGAGGAGAAGGAAGAGGAGGAGAAGGGGCCGGGAGGAGGGTGGGAGCACACACCACAGGCCTCATCCCACTTTCTGGGGGTTTGAGGCCCTCACTCCCTGCTCGTAGGTGACCCGCTGGCTGATGAGGTATTGAGCGGCTTGTGTGGCCGCAGGGCTGCCCGTGATGGTGACCCGCCGGTTCCGCGTGCCAGGCAGGAACTCTCCCTTCTTGGAGATCTGGATGCGCGCGCCTGTCAGCTCCTGGTACTCCACCAACGTCTTGCCCCCTTTGCCCAGGATGGCCCCCACCAGGTTCTCAGGCACCGCAATCTCCACCAGCTCCTTGGCACTCTCGGCTGCCAACTTCTCCGCCGTCAGGAAGCCCCCGGCGGCCCCGGCTGCAGCTGCGGCGGCCACCAGCGGGCCACCCCCGCCGCCCGCCCCGCCGCCCGCTCCCGCCCCGAGGTAGCCGTTGGCGGCTGCGGCCAAGGCGAAGGACCCCAGGGCTCCGGGGGGCGGGGGCGGAGGCGGGGCGGCCCCTCCGGCGGGCCCCGCCCCGGCCTCCCCCGCGTAGGACGCCAGGAGGTTGGCTGCAGCGGCGGCGGCGGGGTTGGCACCGGCGGCCACGGCGGCCAGGACCCCGGAGGCCGCGGCCGAGTTGAGGCCCAGGCCGAGGGAGTTGGTGTTGTAGCCGTAACTGGCCAGCGTGTTAAGCGCCGTGCTGATGGCCAGCAGGTCGGTGCCTGAGAAGGCAGGCAGGGCGGCCGGAAAGGCGCCCACGCCCGCCAGCCCCGCGGGGCCCAGCAGGCCCGAGGCGGCAGCGGCCGAGGCGGCGGCGGCGGCGGGCAGCACGTCGGCGGGGCTGGCGTACGGTGAGCCGGTGGGGTTGGAGTTGGCCACGGGGCCAGCCACGTTGGCGTAGCTGATGTTGAGGCAGCTGCTGCTCTGGGGGTCTTCCTGTACCTTCTGCACGATGGCGCTCACGGCCTTGTGCACCTGCTCCGGCTCGCCGCTGACGGTCACCACGCGCTCCTGAAGGTTGATGCCCTCCGGCTTCTGGGACAGCTGCACCCAGGCACCCGACTGTTCCATCACGGCTTTCACGGTGGCGCCCCCTTTGCCGATGATCAGGCCCGCGGTGCTGTTGGGGACGATCAGCTTGGCCTGCGTGTGGGGCGAGAGGGAGGGTCTTTAGGACGGTGAGTGGAGACTGAACCTTAACGTTAGGCAAGGCCTTGCACTCTTCACTCGCCCCCGCTCTCCCCTGGCCCAGATCAGGCCCGCTGTGCCCCGTTGAAAAAATAGCGAAATACTTTCATATTGGTTGGTTTATAGGTAAAAAAAAAAAAAAAAAAAAAGCTAGTACTCCAAGTCCTCTTGGTAGGTTCTCAGGCACCCTGTCCTGTGTCCCTGGGACCCCTGGGATTTCCCTTCCCTCCAGCACCTTAAAGACTTAATGGCTGACCCAGTGGGTGCCCTCCAGGACAGCGGGTGCTCCCAGCTTGCACTGGTGTTCACACCTTCCAGAAATATTAAACACTCTGACTCCCAGCCCCAGAAAAGGAGTCATTAAGTCTCATTTTACAGAGGAGTCACTTGCGACCTAGGAGAGGAAGGGACTCACCCCAGGGTTACCCAGATTGTGGAGAAGCTGCAATCTGGCCTCTTGGATTCCTGCTCCGTGGTGTTTCCCACCCTACTGGCAAGGTCACTGCGCTTAACCCTCGTTTTGTTATGGGTCAGATTGTTGCCCCCGACATTCAGATGCTGCAGTCTGATCCACCCCTCCCCTGTACTTCAGGATGTGACTGCATTTGGACAGAGGGTCTTTAAAGAGGCAATGAAGGTTAAGTGAGGTTATTGGGGTGGGCCCTAATCCAAAAGGAATGATGTCCTTATAAGAAGGAGAGATTAGGACACAGGCACACACAGAGGAAAGACGGTGTGAGAATGCGGAGAAGAGGACAACCATCTCCCAGCCCAGGAGAGAGGCCTCGGAAGAAACCAGCCCTGCCCCAGATCTCAGGCTTCCAGCCTCTGGAACTATTGAGAAAATGAATTTCTGTTGCTTAAGCCACCCGGTCTGTGGTCCGTTGTTACGGCTGCCCTAGCAATCAAATGCAGTTGTCCTAGCTGTAAAATGAAGGTAAACCTCACATCTGAGATGATCGGGCACGTCCCCTTCTCGGGTGCAGAAAAGCCCATCTTTTGCCGCTGCAAATCTGATTTTTTTTTTAAAGATTTTATTCATTTATTTGACAGACAGAGATCACAGGTAGGCAGAGAGGCAGGCGGGGGGTGGGGAGCAGGCTCTCTGCTGAGCAGAGAGCCCTATGTGGGGCTCGATCCCAGGACCCTGGGATCATGACCTGAGCCGAAAGCAGAGGCTTTAATCCACTGAGCCACCCAGGCGCCCCAAATCTGATCTATCTTAATTCTGGGGGTGGGGGAGGGGGAGCTTTCAAAACCAAAAGTCTCTTTTGGCATATCCAAGAACACTTCTACACATAGGTTCCTCTTGCTCAATCCTCTCACACCTGCTGGTTCTACCCGCTAAAGCCCCTCTCTGCCTCTGAGCCGGACCCCAGGGTTGTTTGAGAAATTTGTGGGCGCGCTTCTGGTTGTCATGACGACTGAGGGGGCAGATGCGGGCACTCTGTGGGGCTGGGCCTTGGATGTCAGTTCTTTACAACATCCAACCGACCAATCGTCCGCCTGTATGACTTTTTAAGTGACTCCCTGGACATTCGTGTTGGCAAAAAGTCCGTTTATAAAACTCAGAGCCCAGACCTGAACCCCACGATCCATATAAGTACCTAGTATTTTCTTTTTCCCACGTGGTTAAGAGCTACTGAAATTTCCAGGAATGCAACTAACCTGTTAAGGAAGGGAAGATTGTACTTCGTTTTGTTCTGAAATTTACCAAGACTGGTTCATTGTTTAAAAAAAAAAAACAACCATGACAACAGTAGTAATGCCATGTGTCTTATTTGCATCTCTGATAAGACACCCTGGGTCACTTGTATTTGTCACTGTCTAGGACTGTGTTAGGTGCGAGCAGCTGACTATGGCACTACTTCTGCTGTGGTAACATGTAACATTTACCTATTAAAATTCATCTCATTTCATAACACATCACCTTGCTTTCATTTCTCCTTTATGTAAAAAAGTCTTACGGGATAAAGAAATTATACACGCATACCATGGAATATTCCTTGGCAATCAATTTAAGTGAACAAAGTACTGATCCAGGCTACAACATGGTTGAAGCTAGAAAACATGCTGTGTGAATGAAGCCAGACACAAAAGACCATATATTGTAGGATTCCGTTTATATGGATGTTCAGAACAGGGAAATCTATAGAGACAGAAAGTAGATTAGTGGTGGCTTAGGGCTGGGGGCTGGTGCTGAGCTGTGGGGATTGAGGAGTGATAGCTAAGGGGATCAAGGTTTCTTTATGAGGAAATGAAATGTTCTAAAATTGATCGTGGGCATGGATGCACAATTCTGAATATAATAAAAACTTTGAACTGCATGCTTTCAGTGGGTGAATTGTAGGTATGTGAATTAATATCTTAATAAAACTGTTGAAAATCTTAAGGGATTTAGAAAGGTAATGCATCTACATTATATGTGCTTTCCATGTACTGAACTGAGTGTGTGTGTGTGTGTGTGTGTGTGTGTGTGTGTGTGTGTGTGTAATTTCAGAGGAAAGAGGGCTGGGAAAATATTTGTAGGAAAAGAGGACATGGGGTTTGACAAGCCTGAGAAGCACTGCTCTACTTGCTCTGTTCTTTGTTGATCTGAGTTCGACTTTTCCCTCCCTCCCTCTTGATGACTCCATGGCAGGCATACTAGGCTCCCTGCTGTTTCTCCAAGTTGCAAGCTTCGTCCAGATTCAGGGCCTTTGCACCTGCTATGCTCTCACCTAGAATGCTCCTTCCCAGAAAAGGAGGCTCACCTCATCATTCAGGTCTTTGCACTAAGGCACAAAGAGGCCTTACCACCCCAGTTATTGATGCTTATTTATTTGCTTATTTTATGTCCCTAGCAGAGACACCTCCAGACTTGTATCCAATTGCTAACCTCATATCTCTGGAATGATGTCGAATGGACACCTCAAACTTAAAATCCAAAGTGGAACACCTCATCTGCTCAGATGTGTTTCTGCCATGGTCTTCCTCATTTCAGTATGTGGAAAATGCACCCTTTCCCTTCTCAGACTCAAGACTCAGAAGGCCTCTCTTTCCCTGACACTCAGCATCCAACCAGCCATTCTGTTGACTCTATCTTCAAAATATATAGTAGATGGGGTGCCTGGCTGGCTCAGTCAGTAGAATGTTGTGTAACTCTTGATCCTGGGGTTGTAAGTTTGAGCCCCATGTTAGGTGTAGAGATTACTTAAAAAAAAAAAATCTTTAAAAATACATGTATAGTAGACTATTCTAGATTAAAAAAGACTAATAAGTTATAACAACTCAATGCAATGCAGGAATACTGACTGAATTTTGGATAGGAAAATACTTTATAGACGTAACATATTTTGGAACAATGTTAATGTGAATTTTTTACTAACCGAGAGCATGGAATTGGTGTTAATTTTTGTAGGTGCAATAACAGTAACATAACAAACACAGGACACATCCTTAGTCTTGGGAGACACATGCTCAAGAACTTAGGGATGAAGAGTCATGAGGTCTATACTTATTTTCAAATGGATCAGCAAAAACAAACAAACCACCCAACAACCAAGCAAATAAAGCCAACAAGTGCTTGTGTGTGTTCATGTGTGTAAATGTTAGCGCTTACTGAGTCTAAGGGCAGTGTATAGAGAGTTCATTGCATTATTCTTCAACATTTTCAAAATAAAAAGGAGAAAAAAATGCCCCAGGACTCTTTCCCCCTCTTTTTTCTGCTTTGTCTTTTGTCATAGCACTTTTCACTCTCTGACTTTTTTATTTGCTTGCTTGCTTCCGGTTTCCACATGAAAGAATGTTAGATCTACAAGGGTAGAGATTTTTGTCTGTATTGTTTACTACTGGGTTCTCAGTGCCTAGGGGAATGCCTGGTATGCATTCAGCAAAGACTGTGTGAATGCTTGGACTCTCGAGACATTTGCTCAGGTTGGAAATCTTGGCTCCACCACTGATGCTGGGCAAGTGACCTAACCTCTTTGAGACTCAGTTTTCTCATCTATAAAATGGGGCTATCCATCCCTCCTCCACAGATTTATTATGAAGCTTAACTGAGATCATTCATGAAATGATGAGCTTGATTCAGGGACCAGTGCCCTTTAGCTATGTTTCTGCTTGGTCCTTATGGGCAGGCAGATCATTATCCATTAATCAAACAAGCAATATTTTTTGAGCACCTACTATGTGCTGAGCGTACGGTGCCATGTGAGTGTCCAGGTAATATGTGCTCATAGTAGATGCTCAAGAAATAGTTGTTGTCATTGTTACCTCCATGGGCTGACCTGGATTTAAATCTCACATCTGTGGTATAGTTGTTTTACAAAATAGTCTGACAATTCTTCGAAAGGTTAGATCTATCATCTGACCCAATTCCATCCATAGGTATATGCTCCAAAGAACTGAAAACCATACCCACACATATGTTCATAGCAGCATTCTTCATAATCGCTAAAAGAAACAACCCAAATGACTATCAACTGAGACAAACAAAATGTGATACATGCGTACAGTGGGATACTATTTGGCCATAAAAAGGAATGAGGTTTTGATATATGTTACAGTACGGATTAATCTTGAAAGCAGTATGCTAAGGGAAAGAAGCCAGACACAAAAGGCCATGTGTTATGTCATTCAATTTATATAAAACATCCAGAATAGGCAAATCCATAGACACCAAAAATAGGTTAGTGGTTGGAAGGGACAGGAAGGGGGAGCTGGGACAATGAACAGTGACTGCCAAAGCATATAAGGCTTCTTTTTGGAGTGGTGAAAATGTTTTGGAATTACATTAGGTGATCAGTGCACAACTTTGTGAATATATTAAACAGCGCTAAATGGTATACTTTAAAATGGTGAACTATACAGTATGGGAATTATATCTCAATTTTTTTAATATCTCAATTTATATATTCAAAAAAATCATTAGAAAAAGAGTCTGACAAGTCAAGAGGTTAGAACCAGACCTAACAATCAAAAGGCATTTGGTATGATACAGCATTCAGAGGAAAAAAGAAAGGATGAATTAACTATTCACCAAGAAATGGTGAGAGCAAATGCTTTCACCTTTCTGTGCCTCATTTCCTGTCCTCCAACACAGATGTAACCACAGCTACTCCATACAACGATTGGGAATATTCAATGACTGGAGTGCCTGTCACGTGGGAAGCCCTCGGCAAATGGTTAACTGTCTTCATGATGGGTCCAGGTGGCAGAACCACAGCATCTCAGAGAGATCACAGGTGCAGTTTCATAGAATCCTGGAGTGCCAGGACATCAGTCAGAACAGTAGAGTCTTAGAATAATGTACATCAAAAATCTTGAAATCACAGAGCCATAGAATTGTAGGAGTTTTAGGGCCAGAAAGACCTCAGAGAACATCTGTTCCCCTGATTTGCAAGTCTGTGGAGATTTTCAAACAGTAATAGTAGAATAATAATTTTAAAGCTAACAGTCCTTCCATTTGCCAGACCCTTTGGTAAACACTTTCATATAGTCACTTACTTAATCTCTACAGCAACCTTACAAGAACTAGGCAGACACTATTATTATCACGTTTTATGGCTTGGAAAACAGAAGCAAGAGAGGTTAAGTAACTTGCTCAAGGTCACACAGATAGTAATAGAGCCAGGATCTGATCCCAGTCCAGAATCTATGTTCAGATTTCTAAGCCTTCACCCCAGAAATTCCAATTCAGTGGCTCTAGGCTGGGAACCAAGAATTCTGGATTCTAAGCCACCTAGATGATTCAGATACCAGCCAAGGCTGAGAACCACTGGTATAACCCTGAGGTGGCAAACTGGTGGTCCTTGAGCTGCAGGTAGCCCACAGCCACATAGTGGTTTTAAGGTTGAGCCAACCTTTAAAAATCAGTTGATTTCAAATATTTCTGGCTTCTTCTGAAAAATTTGTGAGATGTGGCAACACTTTGTCTATATTCCCAAAGGGGAAGAATTGAGTTGAGTTGAATAGCAGCTGCCCCCTTTAGGGATAGCATCATATCTCTCTGGTGAGGCCAGAGTCCTCAATTCTTTATGTTCCTGGCTGAATCTTGGAGGCATTTCAATTTATAATCCCTGGTTTGGCCCAGCTTCCACACTGTAAAGAAAGGAAACTGAGGCTTACGGAAGGGAAAGGAACCCAGAATAACACAGCAAATCCAATGTAGAAAGAGAGTAGACCCATCTCCTGACTTAAAAATCCCATAATAATATCAGCAGTTAACATTTTTTGAGAACTTTCTATGAATTAGGAATACATGCTAAGTGCTTTTTAAACAACAGTGAACACTGATCACTGCCCTTAAGTAGGTGCCATAATGAATCTCATTTTGCAGATGAGAAAAATGAGGCATGGAGAAATCAAGTCACTTATTCAAGGTTGCACAGGTAAAGAAATAAGTTATCAGACTAAGATTCAACTCAACATCTGACTCCAGAGCCTTCAGCCATTATCTCTTTCATTCTTTAGAGCCCCCTAAGTAATGAATAAGAAGAGGAAAAATCTTGGTCCTATAACTTTTCGATTCCACTATCTCAGAGTTTCTGTGGATTAGGGGAGGGGTGAAAGGATCAGGTGCAGACGGTGTTGACCCCATTTTCCCTGAAACATGTGCAGACTCTTCATGAACTCTGAGCCCTTTGTGGCCGCGACCAAGGTGGAGGAAAAAGGCGATATCCTTGCCACCGTGTAAACGGCGTGGCCTGCTGGTGGGAAGGGATTCGGGAGAGACCCGGCAGAGCCGCTTCAGCACCAAGGACAGCAGCCACTCTCCAAGCCCCAAACCGAAGTCTTTTTTTGGGACTGATTCGCTTGGCAGCATTCTTCCAGGGCTTTCCGCCCACCCTTTCCCCAGGAGCTTGGGGGAACTCAGGTCCGTGGTTTCTCCCATCTCAGGGTAACTGAATTCCCAAGAATTCCGGATTCCTTTTACCGAGGGTCTCTCTCTGGTCTTTGGTTCTAGGCAGAAGTTAAGGAACCCTCACAAGGGCCCTGTCCTCCTGCCAGGGGCTCTTGCCCCTCTGCATCATGTTTGCAAGTATCTGGGAGTGGGTAAGGGGGGAGAAAACGGGGAGCGTGCGCAGTTCCCCTGCCCTCCGCCTCCTACCCACCCAGGGCCACGCCAGGGGCTTTGCAGCAAGCCCACCTGCCCGGTGAACACCGTGGTCATGGCAACCAGAGAGGCCGGGGTACTGATTGGTCCGCTCCCTGCCACGCCCCTACGCCACCGCTTCCCCGTAACTGAGGCAACCAAGAGGCGCTGTCCTCCTCCTTCCATCCCTCCTAGAGAGGGCTGTGTAGGAGAGGGACCGGCCCCCTCTCTCGCTAGCAAAATACCCATTTCTCCCAAATGGTGGCTACACCATACAATAATTAATGGAGAGAGGGAGTATGAGGCCATTTCTAAACTTTTCTGGATGTGGATGGGTTGTCAATGAAGTCACTTCCGGTGAGAACAGGAAGTGGGAGGCAGGTTGCTCTGGGAGACAATGGGATGAGGTGGAAGGAAGGAAAGGGTCTAGAGAATCCCAGGAAGGAGGGATAAGGTGTTGGGGGGGTGCTAGTGGGGCGGCGTCTAGGGCAAATTCTACCAGACCTTCACTCCGTCTCTGCATCAAGCCCACTCTAAGAGGTTGGAGTCCCTAGGCTGACTCCCTAATAATACGACTAATTACTACCATGTATTTGCTTGACAAATATCTTATCGGCGTTATCCCATTCAACTCCCACAGTAATCCAGTGATATGGGAGAAGTGTCTTCTCCTGAACCTCACCGGCTTTACAGAAACCCAGTCTTTGCCCCTGCTGACCTGCTTGGCTCTGTCGGGGTTCATCGTGGTTTGGGGTTGAAGGATGTTGACCACCTCAGGCTTGGTCATTGCTTGTGGGATTTCTCGGACCTTCTCAGCAATAAAGCTGTGCACAGCATTCAAGGCCTCTGCTGTGCCCTGTACCAGGCATACTCGTTCTGTGGTTCCTGTTGAGCAAGGGAGAGAGAGGGCACCCTCATCACACAGGAATGAGAAGATTCCTGGGAGACAGGCCCCATTTAATGGAAAGAGAAACCTAGATCTAGAAAGTAGACCTAATCGGGCCCAGGTCACATGGTAAGCCTAGGGAAGTTGGCATGGACTCCCAGGCCATGATGGGTAGCTGGGAAAGTGAGTGGAATGCCTGTTTTATAATCTGCACTTCGTGTCCCTCCCCCAAAACAACCCCAGGGGTTGGAAGAATGATGCTTAAGTGCTTTGCGATGCCCACAGCAGCCCTGGGCAGGGAAGACAGGGCTCAGCTGCCTCTTCCCAGTCCTTGCCGGCTCCTGGTTGCTCTGGCAACCATTCACTCACTACCTCCCCCCCCCACCCCAGAAGCCTAGAGCTCAGGCCTGCAACGGTTGCCACAGTAACTGGAACTCCCTTATCGGTCTAGCTGGCCGGGTCCTCAGCCCACCCCCAGGGGGACGAGGGACGAAGCCCCGTTGCCGTAGCAACCCCTGAAAGCCTGCAGCGAAGGCCTCTGGGCTTTTGGAGAGGATGGGGAAGGGCTGGGGGATGGGGGAGGCAGAAGAGAGGCCAGAGTGCCCGCCTGGACCCACCAGATGGAGAGCTGAAGGGTGGGGGAGGGCAAGGGTATGGACAGGGGAGAGCAGAGGCAACTTATGGAAGGGTAGGGCTCAGGGATGGAGAAAGGAGAGTGGAGTGGATGCCTTTGCTGGAGAGTGTTTAGATTTTGGCTGTGGTTCTAACCTAGGCATCCTAACTCTGCGTGTGTATGTGTGTGTACTAGAGGTAGAGAGGCAGCAGGGAGCAGAGAAACCAACTCTGGGTGATGTTGGGATATGTGTGTGGGATAGAGACTCTGGGTGACAAGCTGACCAGTGCAAATATATCTGTGCGGCTGTTTGGGTGAGTGGTGTGTGTGTGTGTGTGTGTGTGTGTGTGTGTATGAGCAGGTGTCCATGCATGTGTATACCTGGGCTGGAATGGCTCAGTTGTCTTTAGGTGTGTATGTGTATAAGAGAAAGAGTGGGAGAGACTGAGTTGTAAACCGACAGCACAACACAGTGAATCCAGTAACCATGTGTGCACTCTTGTTCATGGGAAAGACTGGGTATCACTGCGATGTTCAAGGTTATGTATGTACCATTTGTGAGACCGAGCTGCTTGTCCAGGAGAGTTTGAGAGAAAGAAACAAAGGATCTCAGGAAGCCGCGCTGATGCTGTATGATGAATGACTATCGCTTTGAGACTGGATGTCAGCGTGAGTGTTGGCAGCAAAGAAACCATGAGACACCTTTCGGTGTCTTATCTGGGTGCCTGGTGTGTGGTATGCGTGTCTATGTGCGTGAGCCTGTGTGTAGGAGACAGACAGACAAGGTTCTATCACTGGTGTGTGTCAATGTGAGCGAGAGAGAGAGAGAGAGACGGAAAAGTAGACTCAAGCGTCAGTATGACAGGAGGACTGATGTGTGTGTGTGTGTACGTGTGTGTGTCTGTATGCGTTACCGCCAGACAAAGACAGCTCTACTGTGACCGGCTGGTGTGAAAGTGTGTGCGCCTGAATGAGCTGTGCATTTTTGCTGTGTGGAGTGGGTGTCTGTCTGTCTCTCTCTCTCTGGTGGGACTGCCTGTAGGGACCAGTTAGCTCCCTGGGTCTATAAAAGGTCTTGAGCCTGCGCCAGGCTCCATGTGCCTGAGTGTCTGGGACATTTGGGGGTGAGGGTCCAGTCTCCCGTGGGCATTCTAGCGCAGCACGTTGGTGCCCCCACCCTGAGCCCTCACTGGCATCTCTCAGCCTGGCATGCCAGTCTATCCATGTGTCCGGGTGTCACTGTCTTGGGGGGCACTTGGATAGTTGATAACCTCCATCTCCTCTGGGCCACTGTTCCTCACTTATTCCCCCCAACCCCAGAACAATGGACTGGTCTGAGCCAAGGGTGAGTCAGCGTGCAGGCTGCCTCCGTCTGGGTGTAAATAGGAAAGGGTGTGGGTCAGGGTGGGAACTGGGGGGGGGGCCCTAGGGAGAGCCTGGCTGAAATGGGTCTGCTCTCCATTTTGGCGAGGCTCCCTTCCAGCTCAGGGAGACTGGGATTTCCCACCCTTTGTAGTTCTCAACTGGGGTCCATGAGGGCTTTGGAGAGCTCGGTTAGCCCCTGAAAGAGAGTCCAATAATGACAGCTGGTGCTTACAAAATACCAAGCGTTAGGCACTATTCTAAGCACTTCGTATATATTTGTGCACTTCATGTAGGAGGTAGGCGCTATTATTATTCTCAATTTACTGCTAAGGACACTGAGGCACAGAGAAGGTTTGGGATCTTTTCAAGTTCACTCAGCCAGTAGTGAAAGTTCAGGGTCTCGAACCCAGATATCTGGCTTCAGAGTCTGAGCTTTTAACCACTGAGCCACGCTTGTGTTCGATGTGGGCTATGCAGACTGTGTGTGTGCTTGTGCGTGTGTTAGGAAGAAGGCATAAGAGGACTCCGTTTTTGCTATTGTATTTTTGATAGGAAAAAAGAGTAATGTATGGATTTATGAAGTAATCTCTCAAGATTTTGTACTTTAAGGCAATGTTATAAATCAGTAATTTTTTAAAAAGTGTGTGTTGTGTGTCTGTGCTTTTCTTCTGGGGACAGAGCTGTAGGCAAATGCTCCAAATCGGAAGCAGTCTGGAATCACTACGGTATCTGAGTGCGTGTACTTAAGTCTGTGTGTGGCTTTGGGCAAATGTCTGCTTCTTTCTGGGTCTCGGTTTCTCTATGAATGATCCAGAAGCATAGTCTGGGGCTTGGCGTTTCCTGTACCAAGGAGGGGACAACCTTTGTGCTTTGCCCCTCTCTTGGGGATAACGGTCAGGTAGGTTTTTGTTTCATGTAGTAGACACAAGTGAGTGTGTGTGTGTGTCTGTGTGCGCATGCACGTGTATGTGTGTGTCCATCTGTCTGTGTGTTTCACCATTGTCATTTCTCATCTGCTCCGTCTGCTTCAGTCACAGTGAACAAACTCCCCCTCCAGCCTTTGAACATGCTAGTTCATCTTTCTGGAGTGCTCTTCCCTGCTTTTATCTAGCTCACTTTTACTTATTGTTCTGGGCCCCTCCTCCAGGAAGCCCTCCCTGACCTTTCCAGGCTGGGTCAGGTCCCCTGTCTGGGCTGCCACCATTCTCTGGGCGTCCCTGTCCTAGCCCTGACCATGCTGGGTCATTGCTGGTGTTCAGTCTGTCTTCCCTACTGGGCCGTGAGATCTGTGAGGGAAAGGTGGGGATATCTCAGTCACTGCTGTCCTCATCTCTGTCCATAGAATAGGTAATCAGAGAATGTAGGTTGAATAAATGAATGAAAGGGTGTTAGCCAGGAGCAGAGGGAAAGATGCTCTTCCTTTCAACTGGTAGGACACTCATTTCTTGTGTTCCTGTGGGTCCTGGGAAGTCCTAGGGGCTGGACTAGGATGTGTGGGGCCACGTCTTGCATCTATGAGGTGGCACAAGCTTTATGATCTGAAAATTCCATGTCAGCAGTGGGGAGGGGGCACTGGACACGTCCTGGGGCTGGGGAGAAATGCTGGCTCATGTTGCTTGTTTGAATAGTATTTGGCCCAAGAAAGCCAATGACTGTCCCATCCTCTGGGGTTCTCAGATGCCTGGCTTGTGGGGTATGTCACTGAATTGGGAGGAGATGATGTGTTTCATGTCACAGAATGTGATCCAAGCATAAGGAACCAAGTGTCCTCGGATATATGCCCCAAGCAGAGGTCTTATCCATATCTTGTGGCCTAGGGGGTGTGTGGGGGAAACTGGGCCAGGGTAGAAGAGGAAAGCAGGGTTGGGGGTGTGTGCCTGGTTCCCTGGACAGTTCTCTAAACCTCTTGCCAAAGCTGCTTAGTGAGATGGGCAGCAGGGTGGGTGGAGGCAGGAGGGAGAGAGAGAGAGAGAGAGAGAGAGAGAGAGAGAATATGAATATGTCCTGACCCTGGGCTCCAGCTTTGGTGTTTGACCTAAAAAATCCAAGGGGATTAAGGATGAACTAGAATCAGCTCTGGTCCAAAGATACAATTCTGGGGGCCCTTCCCGGGGAACATCCCTAGATGTCAAAGACCAGGCACTGGTCTTGGGAGGGGGAGACAGAGGGGGTGACAGATAAAGCAGGGGACAGTAGAGGGAGGGAGGGGACTTGGAAATGTTATGGCCACGGGAGAGAGAGAGCTGGAGGAGAGGCAGAAAAGGGGCTGGTTTGGAGGAAGGAGAGAAAAAGTATGTGGGGGTTGAGACTGGGAAGGAAACATGAAGGGAGAGGTGGGTGACTAGAGTCAGGAAGAAATGAGGGGCAATCCAGCAGATCATTTAGGGGGTGCTACTGGATATTGGCTGAGTGAATGACTGACCAGAGAGGGTTAAGGAGCAAGAGAAAGAAAAATATGAGACAATGAGAGGTGGAGGGCAAGAAAAAGATGGGGCGAGGGGTGGGAAGAAGAGAAGGGGGAGATAGAGGAGGGAGAGAGTAGGGAAAACAGAGATGGACAAGACAGACGGATGGGGACGAGGGGTGGGGGACAGCCAAACAGAATCAGAGAGATAGAAACAAAAAGAAGAGCAGGAGGAGCTAGAGAGAGGTGGATGGGAACGGAGACTCGGGGAGCAGGAGATGGGAAAGTCGGAAACAGAATGAGAGAGACATAGGGAAGAATGACACAGATAGAGAAAACCAGCGGGACTCAAACTGGCCAAGATGGGGTAACAGAGAAATCCAAAGGGAAAGAGTGAGGGAAAAGAAGTGTGTGTGGGGGGAGTGTGCAACACAGCTGGCTGGCCCCCCAACCCCAAGGGACACCCTGACACCTGCCTCCCTGCCCACCCCCCTCCAGCAACTCCAACTGACCCAAAGAGGCAGGTGTGTGGGAAGGGGCACATCTGCCAGCACATCATGCAAATGAGCTCATGAATATGCAACAGGCCCATTGTCTTGCCCTGCCCCCACCCCCATCTGCTCAGGCCTGGCCCCTGGGGCTGAGGGCAGCTCTGTCCCCTTAGGAGGAGGGGAGAGCCCCATCACTATGACTGCCCCAAGGGCAGCTCTTTCCCCCTTATCCAGGGCCCAGGTGGGAGGGACAGGAGGCCAAGGGCAGAGTCCTGGGCCAGGGCTCACCCGGATAGAAGTCTTTGGACTTAGAGAGCTTGATGGTGGCTCCTGTCTCCTTCTGCAGCTGCACGATGGTCTGCCCGCCCTTGCCAATGATGGAGCCTGCCGCGTAGCTGGGGATCAGCACCTTCAGGAAATATTCGCCTTCCTCTGCAGGGGCACATGGGGAGGGGAGGTAAGGGAGGCCGGGGAAGGGGTCTTCCCCCTCAGCATGGTGTGGTCATAGGAAACCCCTGGCATCACAGGAACATACAGGAGCAATGGCCATGAGAATAGCAGCAGGGAGAATAAACACATAATGATCTTCATTCATTCCCTCACTCATTCATTCACTCATTCCACGGATAGTTACTGAGCACCTGCTATCACGCGCTTGGCAGTGTTCTAGTGAAACAGCCGTGAGGAAAACAGACAAACTCCCTGATTTTGCAGGCAAATGAGGCAAATAAGGCCGAGATAGTTTCAGTGATTCAGCCAAGAGCTCACACAGCTACATTCTTCTAGAAGGAGGGGGAGACAGACAGTATGCTTTATGTCGGATGGTGGTCAGCACCAAGAACACAAAAGGGGGCAGGAGAAGGGAAGGGGGATTGCAGGGGCTGTAGTGTCAGATCCGGTGGGCAGGAAAGCCCTCCCCAAGAATGTGGCATTCTTTGTTTAACAAACACTTCTACAGAACCTAGTAAACACTAGACTCTGTTCCAAGTACTACACAAATACTAGTTCTTTTAATTTTCACACTGATGCTATGAAAGCAGTACTTTGTAACCTGGCTTTAGAGTCCAGGCTCTGAACCCTTATGACTGATTGTTTTTCAGGCTGTGGAGGTGGGAATGGAAACATGTGCCTCCGTGGGAGAGCAAGTGCAAAGGCCCTGGGGTGGGACTGCACCTGAGTTGTCTGAGGGAAGGTGAGGTAGCCAGTGGAGCTGGGGCTGAGGCAGAGAGGTAAAGAGTGGAAGGGGGTGAGGGGCTGAGAGGGGTGGTGGTAGTGGTGGGGCTACAGTAGGCTCTTCGGTTTTTACTCCACATGAGATGGGGACCATGGGAACCAGAGATGGCTCTGAGCAGAGGAGGGGGAGGATCTGACTTAGGTTTCCAGAAGATCCCTCAGCGCTCAATATGGACCTGTACTGGGCTGAGTGCTTTGCAAGCTTGACCTCAACCATTCCCTACAACTCCCAAAGAAGAAGTTATAATGAGCTTCATTTTTATGTGGGAGGAAACGGAGGTATGCAGGTGGTGAAGGCACCACCCCAAGGTCGGCTGCCCAAGGGCACCAAGAAAGTCACTGGTTTGAGATTCCAATGCAATTCTGTTTTGTTCTTGGTCCTCCCTTGCTTAGCACTTTCCGAAGACCAATGCATTCAAGGACAGTCTCCAAGACCCGGGGTGGTGAGGTGGTGCCAGTGGTCCCTTGTGGGGCTGTGGCAATTCTTTGTTAGGGACCAGTTTTCTTGGTCATGTGTAAAGTGCTTTGTTAATGCACTCAAGGCACATGCCTAACCTCTTCTACCTTCTAACCCAACTGCTGTCCCTGAGTTCTCATAGGGTAGAAATTCTGGAGTCTTCTCAGTATTAGATCCTCTGTGACCTGGCCCTGCACTTCTTTCCAGGTTCACGTGCTCATCTTCCTCTATGTGCATCGGACCTACTTCCTCTTTTTTCCTTAAACATTCCCTCCTCCCACCCACCGCAGGGCCTTTGCATGTTCCTTTTGCTCGGAACTCCCCTCCCACAGCAAATTCCTCTTGTCCTTCAGGTCCCCACTCAAATGTTGCTTCTTCTTGGAAGCTTTCCTGGAACCCTGAGGAGGAGACGGATCCTCTCCTGTTCGTTTTGTGCCTTCAGAACAAGGTACCACAGAAGTTCACTGGAGCTCATCCCTGTGTCCCAGGGACTCATGCCATGGCCCAGCACACAGTAGGCATGCAATAAACACTGGGGAAAGGAAGGGAGGAGCCAGGCCATTCTGCTTCCAAAGCTTAAGGTCTTAAAACATCCCCTAGTGGTTTTTAAAATTCTTTTCTTTTAAGCAAAGGAAACCTATTTTCAATGTCTCACATGAAACTCCAACACACAGAGCAGATAAAAGAGAAACTGTTCTGGTAAAAGTGGGGGCAGGGCGGGGGGGGGGGGGGGAAGCCCTGCCCATCTCTGCCTGATCCCTTTAGATTGAAGGTTCTGGGATCCCTGATGTGTTAAGATGGGGGTGTGGGGGCGAGAGACTGGATGTGGTTTCACAGGCATGGGGAGGGGGTCCAGAATGAGGGGTTGCCCTAAGCCCAAGGCAATCCACTTAAACTTGCCTCATCAGACCATTAAACCTATTAAGTAATTAGCCCCCCAGAGTGCCTTCCCATCAATCATCCTGACCCCCCCCGAATTCACTTTCTTCCCTGGGCTCACAGAGGCAGCCTCTTGCCTGCCCCCACCCCTAAACCTGTCACAGAGACGGAGACCAATCCTCCATCCCTGAAAGGCTCAGAAAGACGGGGAGGGCGTTCTCACAAAGGACTCTATCCGCTTTTTCCTTCTTTAACTTCAACCCCTATCTTCTCTCCAGCCAGGACCTCTTCCCCAACTTCCTTCTTGAAGGTAGAAGGTATTCATCTACTCCGAAGAAAACTGGGATTACATCCCCACCCCATTTTCTGTGCCCTCTGTCTTCCCCTTCCCCAGGAATTTCTGTATGCAACAGCAGAAACAGCCTTAGACTGAGTGTGAATTTTGTCCCTGACGAGACGCAGGGCCTTGGGCAAACCACCTCACCTCGTGGGGCCTCAGTATTCTCATTGGCAAAATGGGGATATGAAAGCACTACCTCACGGGACTATAGAAATTAAGTGATAAACCATAAAGTACTTAGGCTGGTCTCAGGCATGTGCAACACTTAAGAAACCTTAGCCATCATCACCTCCACTATCATCATGACATTTACCAATGTCAGAAACACAAGCAAAGTTCTTCTGATGGCATCTGGCCCAGGATAAGTGCTCTGCAAGTGGGGAGACGAGCCTCTGAGGCCTGAGGTTTTCATTGGGCGATGGGAGAAGGAGGGGAGACCCCACTTCCTTCATCACTTCCTCCCTAGAGGATGTCCCAGGCCTTTCTCTGCTTCTTGGAGGAGGAATGAGCTCTCACTGATGGAAGCGAGACCCTGTCCCTCATCTCTCTGACTCCTTCCTTCTCACGCCACTTCTTGCCTTTGCCCTTGATGTATCCCCTCAGTACTGTTTCCTCCCTTCCTCCAAATCCTTCCCGAGCACCCACTCTGTGCCAGGCCTTGTTTGAGGTGCTGGTGACACAGCAGGGAACATGACACAGACCATTTCCTCCAAGTCCACTCACTTTTTAAAATGTAAATGCATCTCTTTAAAGAGGACACTTAAAAACCACTGCTAATATTCAGAGTCTGAAGGCTGGTTATGTTTTCCCCTCCAAAGCATACAATATAAAGTCTGTCCATGGATCCTCTTAAGCCCCTTCCGGGTGTTTGAGGGTCCCTGTATCAGACTAGTATAAACCAGGAGCCTCGACCGGAGGCCAGCCTCCTATGGAGAATGACTAGGTGGGATCTCCCACTTGCAGAAGCTCAGAACACAGGACAGGAGTCCCCACTGTGGCCAACAGACCCCTCTGATCCTCTTCAGAATCCTTTGCATGTCTTTCCCATTTGGGAGTATGCTTGCCCCCTCCCCCTTAATGCGCCCTGTGAGTCCCATGTCCCCCAGCAAAAAGCCAGGCCTCTCTTTCCAGCCTGCCTTGCAGCAAGGGGAGACACGCACCCTCAGCTGAAGCTGGAGCCCCCAGACCTCACATGCTCCCACTCGGTTTGAGAAACCAAGGCTCTGCCTGTGAAAAATTTCTTCCTTCTACTGAAGTAGGATCTAAATGCCAGAACTCCACACCCACCTACTTCCACCACCACCCCGTTAGCTTTTCCGCTGGGGTTCAGGCAGCCCCCTTTACCCTTGACCGTGACTGAAGAATTAGAGGTGCCCATTTCTCTCTTGCTGGTTTTCCTCCTGCTACAACTTTAAGCATTCCCACCTTGGGAAGGGGCAGTCCTCTCTTTATTAGTCTCCCCCTCCCTGTTTTGCCCACCTTCTTCAGAAATGCTTCTGGAGTTTCCAAAAAGCAACCAATACCCCTCTCTCCTTAAATAATGATGACCTAGGGGTGCCTGGGTGGCTCAGTGGGTTAAAGCCTCTGCCTTCGGCTCAGGTCATGATCCCAGGGTCCTGGGATCGAGCCCCGCATCGGGCTCTCGGCTCAGCAGACAGCCTGCTCCCCCACCCCCTGCCTGCCTCTCTGCCTACCTGTGATCTCTGTCTGTCAAATAAATGAATAAAATCTTTAAAAAAATTTAAAAAAAATGGTGACCTACCTGAGAGATGTGGGGTGCTGTGTGGTAAGAGTCACACTTTTTATCGGAGAATTGACCCTGATAGGCGGTTTTAAGGGGGGGGTCACTAATGACAAAGGGAGAGCTGAAGGGGTGGGGGGTGTGTTGTTTTCAATGACAGGAGGTCTAGGGGAAACCAAAGTTGGGGTGCCGAGTTCATGGGACCTGCTCTGGCTTGAGGGTTGGGGGCGGAAGTATCGATGTGTTCCACGGAGGTGTGAGGCAGAGGGGGTGTGATGTTGACACTGTCATGGGAGCGTGTGGGGATGTGGCTGGTGGAAGACAAGATGACACGGTGGCGGGCAGCAGCACCGCTCAGGAGGGCGGGGACGGCAGGTGTGTGAGGCAGTCTCTGTGAATGACGGTGTTGCCCCTTCCCGTGAGAAATGCAATACAACCAAAGCAGGGGGAACGGCATGCCAAAGGTGTGATGCCGTCTTCGAGCTGTGACACCGTCTCTGAGTGAAAGAAAGGTGGATGGGTATGATTTCCACAGGGCGAAGCGCCGCGGGATAGCGCAACAGCGCAACAGGCTCCGATGACATTCTCAGTGGCACCGATCGTAGTAAGGACAGCTACCGTGTATTGACGATTTGCGGTGTGTATCATATATACAGTCCTATTTAACCCACACAAAAGTCCGGAGTGGTAGTAGCAGATCTTAACGGCTCCCATTTTCCAGATAAGGAGACTGAGGCTCGGGGCAGTGAAATAAATTGCCTGAGGTCCCACACCAAGCCCACGGCTGTGATGAGATGGACCCTGGAAGGTCTCACTCCTGGGGCTCTTAACTTTGGTGACATTGTGTTTATGGGAAACAGCGAGGATGCTGGGAGCAAGACCTGGGGGCCGGAAACTCATTAGGGGTGGGGGGTGGGGTGGGGAAGGAGGGGTGTGTGTGTGTGTGTGAGACTGGTGCGCATGCGCGTGTGTCTATGTGCAAGGAACACCTTGAAGAGTTGCATCTGTACTGCGGGTGGGGAGGATCGCTTGGTATTGTCCCGCTAGACTACAGCCCTTTGTCTCTCTGATGAGTGAGTTCCTAACCTGAGTTTCCATTCAACTCCCCGCCCCCTCCCCAGTCCTCCTGTCCTTAAGTGCCTTGTCTCCCCCACAATGGCGTCTGGCAGTACTGGAGCCCAGTCGTTAGTGGGAACAGCCCCCATCTCCTCTCTCAGCCCCCAAGAACAGGCAGGAGCGGCAGGCAGGCTGGCTCTGCGGGCCCAAGCTTGATCTGTCCCATCTGCCATGACTTGTCATGACGTCCCCAGAAGTCTCCCTCAACCCTCTGGGCCTCGGCTTCCTCACCCAGAAATGGGGTTCACTATAGTGTCTACCCATATAATGAAGCCAGTCTCCCAAGTCCAAAGCCAGCTCTGCCTCTGATTAGCTGACTGACCATAGGCAAGTTACTTAGCCTCTCTGTGCCTCAGTGTGTCATCTGTTAAGAAAGGGAACATACAAGAATTGTAAGGAATACGTGATCGGTCTGTGCTGAGCACAGAGTCTTTTCCATAAGACTTCCTGGTGCTCTGCAGGCCGTATATATTAGCCATTATTATAATTTATTGTGGTTAATTATTACATCACAGAGTGTGGGGAGAATTACATGACTTACTGCCTATAAAGCAGAGAGCCATAATACGGGTAGTGATTATTACTATTATCCTTGTGATTATTGTGATTTTCCCACTTGACAGATGGTGACTCTTGAGGCTCAGGAAAGGGGTGAGGTTAACGGAGCATCCCCCAGTCATGACAGTATTATCGCAAGGAGCCCTCAATTTTGAGATGAAAATCCCGGATCCTTGCCCAACGCTGTCTCCTGAGTGTCTCTGTAAATGGAGGACTGTCCCTTTGCATCTCCGGACTCAGTTTCCCCACAGGTCACCAGGAGGGGAGGTGGAAAAGCCCGGAGGGGAGGGTCCCTAAGGGCTCATCCTAGTTTTTCCTGCTGCTGAGGGAGGCAGGATGCCCAGGGTTAAAGCACATGAGCTCTGGAGCCAGACGGCCCAGGGTTGGATAGATCCCAGCTCCACCAATTTATGACCTGGGTGACTTTGGGCAAAAGTGGCTTCATTTTGCTGAGCCTGTTTTCCTCATGCGAAAAAGCAGCTCAAATACTCTCCCCCAGAGTGTTGTATTAGGAAATTAACCCATATCTCAGAGCCTGACTTCTAGTAGGTGCCACGTACTTGGGCCTGACCGTCACTATTGTTAGGTTGTGCTGCCCATAGCAATCAGATTTGGAGCACCTCAGCCCCTTTAAAAGAAGGATGAGACGCCCCACCACCACCAACACACACACACACACACACACACACACACACACACACACACACAAGCAGGGGCAGGGGTGGGCCGCCAGGTCAGGCCCAGGGACCGCCTGGGTCCCTGCCTGGGTCCCTGCCTGGGTCCCTGATTCTCTCCAGCACTGGGAATGGCAGTGGGCAGGAAGAAGGGAAGGAAGTTGGCTGGGACATATTCATGTGTGTGCTGGGGGTGGGGGGAGCAGGAAGAAGGACAGGAAGCTCCCTCCCACCCCTCCCCCAACTTCCCTTTCCTTCAATTTCTGCTGGACACCCTCTCACAGGCAGCCAGGGGGTCCCCGATTCCTGTCCCACCTGGGCAGGAGTTGAGGGGGAGGGCGGTGCTGGAATGGAGGAAAGAGACTTGGCTTGTGTTCCATTGAGGGGAGGAGGTGGGAGGTCCCCACCCGACCCACTACAGGGCCTGGCGGAGTGGGGAGCATGCACTCTGCCCCAGGTCATTCCTCTCCCATCCGGAGGAAAAGGCCAGAGGAAGCAGATTTTGGCCAAGGTGACCGCAGGGAGGGGCTCGTCTGCTCTGGGGTCTCCCTCCATCCAGGGAGTTAAGAGGCTGAGCTCTGAGACTCTGAAAATCCCTACCTCCTTCCTGAATCCCTGGCCAAAGAGACACCCGCTAGAGTGCCCCGCTTGTCTTTTATTCTCTGGTACACATACTTCCTCAGGTCACACACACAGTGGGGGCCCTCCTGTCTTACACACGTATACCTTCTGTGTTGTCAAACACTCAGACATCACACACGTACACACACAATCCCTTGTCTCTCTCACACACAGAAACATTCCCACATCTCTAGTTACATACTCAACCATTTCACACATGCCCTCTCCCCTTGTTACAGACAGACACACACACACACACACACACACATCTTCCCTTTTCATACCCTTTAGGTGTCATATACACACATTCCTTGTCACACCGGCACTATCCTTCCCTCCGTTGTTACACACCCTCATGCAGCTCACCCACAGAGCCCTAACCTCTCCCGTCATACACCCACCTTCCCTTGTCGCACACGCCCCCTCTGATGTCACTGTTGCACACCTCCATGTGTCACACCCAGCCACAGCCTCTTTGGAGTCACACCCACACCCTTTTCTTGTCACATACCCTCGCCAGCTTCTCCTGGTCCCACCCCACCCCAGACACGCCTGTGTCACACACACTGAACTGTCTTCCTTGATCCACACAGCCTCTCATGGCTCATACCCAAAGCTGGCCCATTCAGCTTCCCCCACACACCCCCTTGCATGTCACACACACCCTCTCACTTATGTGTCACACTGCCACAGCCCCCTCTAGGGTGACATGCACACACTTTCCCTTGCCACACGTACCCCTTTGAGGGTCTCAAACACAGAGCCCAGCCCCTCATCTCACCCTGTCTCTTAACACACACGCACACACATCTTCTTTCCTGTCATATCCATGATCCTTAATGTCACACATCCAGGCCTTACAGGGCCCACACGCGCACATACACACAAATACACACACACCTGTCCCAGCTACACATTCTCCCACCTAGCTTTACACACCCACCCATTCCTCCATCTCACCCAACACACCCACCCAGCTTGTCCCCACGCACAATCTTGCCCATGGCCCACTCTCACCTCCCTCTGGGACAACCCTTGCTCAGGACATCCCCAGGGAGGGAGGCTGGGAAGCTCCAGGTCCACAGGCCTCCTCTACTCCTTCCCCTCCCCCCCGCCAGGACACGCCAGCCCGGGAACACCCCTGCCCCGAAAGGGTCACATCACACACCCCTCAAGGACACAGAGATGCCCGCCCAGAAGGACCCACGCCCCCCATCCTTTGCGCCCCCCAAGGACACTTAACCACCCCCTCCCCCCCATCCCCTCTCATCGCAGACAAAGCTCCCAGCCCCGGGCAGCGGCGAGAGGGGGAGGGGGTCCGGCCCCCTCCCCAACGCCCCTCTCAGCTCCCGGGTCTAGGGAGGGGCGCCCTTCCCCGCCCCAGAGCCCTTGCACCTGCCACGGCGGCGGGGGGAGGAGGATGGAGAAAGGCGAGGTCCCCTGCCCGCTCCCCCACACCGAGTCGCAACCCTTTCTCACCTCCCGTGTTGCTGCGCTTGGTGCAGACCACCTCGGGGGGCGTTTCGAGGGGCCTCTTGCGGGAATCCGGGGCCTCGGGCTCCATGGGGGGGGCCTGGGGCGGCGGCTGCTGCTGCTGCGGCGGCTGCGGCGGCGGCGGCGGCGGCTGCTGTGGCGGCGGCGACGGCTGCTGGGGAGGCTGGGGTTGCGGCGGCGGCGGCGGCGGGGGCGGCGGCGGCTGCGGGGCCGCGGAGGCCGTGAAGAGGCCGTGCACCGCGCCGGCGGCCATCATCCTCATGGTCGGGGGGGGGGGGGGGGGGGGGGGGGGGGGGGGGGGGGGGGGGGGGGGGCGGGGGGGCGGGGGGGGGGGGGGGGGGGGGGGGGGGGGGGGGGGGGGGGGGGGGGGGTGGGGGGGGGGGGGGGGGGGGGGGGGGGAGGGAGGGGGGGGGGGGGGG